AGGAGGGGTGAAAGAGGACCCTCCGTGATCATTTCCTATCCTCACTTCCGCACTAGCATACTCCCGCTGGACGCCATCTGACCTGGGCTGTGCGGTACTGCTTGCCGTGTCAGTGTGCCACTCCCCTTCCCCCTTCTCGTCTAGTTTAAAGCCCTCCTAACCAGGTTGGCCAGCTTTTTGGCAAAGAGACATATGCCCCTCTTGCTGAGATGGTTCCCATCATTCCCCACTAGCTGGTAGTCAAAAACAGAGTCCCATGGTCATAAAAGCCAAAACCCTGTTGCCAAGCCCAGCGGCGCATCTGGTTGTTAATCTGCCGTATCTGCCTTCTCCTCCTTGAATCCATTCCCCTCATTGGCAGGATAGAGGAGAACACTACCTGGGCTCCAATACCTTTGACAGCCATCCCTAGGGCTCAGAAATCTCACTTGAACCCTCAGTTCCCCCATGGCATCATTTGTGCCCACATGAAACAGTATCAGGGGGTAATAGTCAGACTCCTGGACAAGCCTTGGGAGCCTTTCTGTAACATCCTTTATTTGGGCCCCTGGCAAGCAGCAGACCTCTCCAGATAACGGGTCTGATCTACATATCGGTGCCTCTGTGAAGGCCTCTGAAGGTGCCTCCGACATAAAGAACTCAGCTTCTCATGGTTCCTTCTTGGGGTTGATAATTTAATCAAGAGGCAACTTTTTAAAAGATAAATGTTGGGAAAACTGCTGTGTCTTCCTAGAGACTTTTATAGGGAGACTCTCCAAGTTTAAGTTCCCAGGCGAAAATATTGCGAGTCAGTCTTGTCAATGGGGACAAGGAAGCTGATGATGCATCCAGGTAGGACTGGAGATTTGAGCAGGGAGGAAGCAAAAAGTGTTTCAAATGGCTCTTCTTGGAGTTCTTATAAGGAGGCTCTTTCTCTCTTTTCCCATTGGAGAAAACATGGAGAATTGAAAAGGATCCCAGATGCAGTATGGAAGAATATTGATTGAGCAGGAATAGCTCTGCGAGAGGGCATGTATTGACTTGCAGTGGTATGCAGGAATGTTACTTGGATTAAGTGGAGAGGGATTAAATAAGGGTGATTTGTGCCTTGTGCTGCAAGAAGGCCCGACATACTGGAGTCATGGTGTCCACGTTCACTCGCTCCCTAGCTTGGTTTTTGACAGCTCAAATTAGCTTCCTTTAGGATAAAAAACAGAAGCAGTTCAGGGCTGGCTCACAAGGAGTGGTATGGATGTCTTGTGCCACACTGAGGCACTTGTGTTTGAGCACTGTCCTGCTGGCTATGGCCCCTCCTGCATCCACAGAGCCTCCTGCTGCATCCTTCCACTACGCACCCTCAGCTGCATGCCATGGTGGCTTGCAACAGCCCTCACGTTACTTTGTAAATTGGCAGCAGAAAAAAGCATCAACAAGACGGAAAGCATCTCACAGGATATAGGGGGCCACACACTCTGCATCATTCACCCAACCAGGGTGCTGTGTGTGTTTCGGCACCCAGGCACCACAGGAACAAGCCAGGCTGTGGCATGTGGCCTTACGCCC